GCATTAGAATTATGGTTTTGATGAGGGATGTTGAATATACCCTGATCTGTCAAAGAATGAACAAATCTGTCTTGGAAGAAGTATACCCAGAGGGCTCCTTAGAAGTGAAGATGATGGGACTTTTCACATACTCTGGACATGCTATCAAGATGAACTAATTTCTATAGAAGGACATTATGTTTGGTAAAGGAGAAGAAGGTCAACAAAAAGAAATCAGGAGACCCTTCACCAGATGGATTGATAAAGTGAAACAATGGGGTATAAATAAAGCAATGGTTTTGAGGGTGTTGCAGGATTGGGCAATGTTTTATTCTGTTGTGTACAGATAGTGAAGTTATGAGTTGGAAGGGACTCAATGACACCTAACAAAAAGACATTATTTTATAAATATAGTGATTACTCAACAGTGTTTTTCTGGATGAATGTTCCTTAGAATGACTTGATTTTTTTTTAGGGAACACAAACAATGTGACAGGATAAAGGCAAATTCATTTCCTCCTAGTAGAACACAAGGATCTATATCTCTAAGGGTCATTCATTGTGCTAAGTCTGTATATGAAACAAACTTATAAGTACTTTATATTTGGGAAGCAAGATTATGCAAATAAAGGAGAAAACACCGAATTACAAATTTGAATCTGTTTCATATCTGTTACTAATTAACTGTGCAACATTAGGAAAATCACTTAACCTCTCTGAATGTATGCCAACTGAAAAGTGAGAATATTACATTAAGTGATCTCTAATAGTACTGCTATTTCTAAAAATGGTTAATTGATGACATTTAGCTTCCCAGTGAAATTAAATCCAGAGGACAACTGTCTGTATTATCTTTTTTATACAATCTTTCTATAGGGAGAAAAATGTGTCACAAATAGCCATGCAACATAATTGACTCAGCACTAGGATTGTTGTAATGACATGTTTTAAACACAATAAGTTTATGACAGCATTAACTATTATGTGATGATGGGCCCCTGAATTAGAGAAGGCTTGTGTTAGGGAACCCTAGGGAACACTGCAAAGATTTCTTCTTTGGGGCAAGAGAGGAATGCCACCAGAGTGTTCTTTTCATAGATTCTATCTGCAGGTGTGTCTGTGCCATAGGTTTTTGTGTATATTTGTAAGAATTTTTTTGAAGTAAAACATAACAGATCATAAAAGTCACCGATTTTAAGTGTTTCATTCAAAGATTATAGTGTTAAACAATCATCACCACCTTAATACTTGTCACACTCTAATATCTATCACACACAATAAAAAGAACCCTCATGTCTCTACAAATTTGCAATTTCTAGGACATTTTACATCAATGGAATCAAAAGATATTGTAGTTGTTTGCATTTGTCTTCCTTCATGTAGCGTAAAATTTTCAAAGTTCATCCATATTCTAGCATACACCAGTTGTTTCTTATTTTTAAAAGATAATTGCATTGTGTGACTATAAGACATTTTCTTTATCCGTTCACCAGTTGAGGAGCATTTGATTTTTTTCCACTTTGGGACTTTCATGAATAATGCTTCTGTGAACAGTTGTGTGTACTTAATTTAATTTTTATTATGTTTTACATTTTGGTGGTCATTACCTTGAGGGAACTCAACTACTGAAAGGCTGCTGGTTTGAACCCACAAGCCACACAGCAAAAGAAAGATGGAACAGTCAGTTTCTGTAAAGATTTACAAATTGGGAATCTTGCAGGGCAGCTCTACTCTGTCCTGCAAGGTCACCATGAATAAAAATGGTCTTGCTGTCGGTGTGTTAGAAACCCAGAAGTAGGATTGCTGGGTCATACAGTAACTCCAAGTTTACCTTTTCAAGAAATGAGTTAACTTTTCAAGGTTACTATTATTTTACCTTCCTATGTCACAGGATAGGACAGGACGCAGGTCAATCATTCATAGGGTCGCTATGAATCAAACTCAACTAGATAGCACCTAACAACAATCAGCAATGTGTGCAGGTCCACATTTCTGTACACCCTCACTGAAACTTGTTAATGTCTGTCTTTTGGATTATCCCAACAGGCCTCCATGAAGTATTCAGAAGATGGGAGAAAGTGTAAAATGAGGGATCCTTTCCTGTCAGATGAGACCCCCAGATCTAAGACCTAGCCTGGTGGACAGTCAACGTTTTGATCAGTGACTAATGAATCAACTGTTCTCTGAACTAAATTCTGACTGCTGTAAAGAATAAGAATTTTCCTGACTGCTCTAAACGATAATCCCTACTTATTTATATGAATGATCTGTACATTATTCTTTGTAATTATCAAAAGAACTCAAAACAAAATTCTTTAAAAAACCCTTTACCTCTTTTATGCCAAGTAGTTCATTTTACTGGACAGATGACACTCATTCAACAGTTGTTAACAACTGGCTCTGGAAGCTGTAGAAGATGGTTAAAGATATTGTATCTTTATATATACCTTTTAAAATGATGTTGAATACCTTTTGCTTGTGAAAAAGCATACTGCATGCAATAAAAATCCTACATATTTTAGTCAGAGATAATGCAGTATCATTTTCTTTTCTAATTAAGTTAAAGAATGAAAGATTTCTGTTAGGCTGTATACAGAGATTAAATGTTACTCATTGTTGTACACAGTGGAGTAAGAGATCATTCATAATTGACCTTCTCAGTGGGTTTTCAGAGGCTGTAAATCTCATGGGAGGACCTTACTTATTTTTCTTCTGAGGAGTAGCTGATAGATTCAAACTGCTTGCCTTTGAGTTGACAATGCAACTCCTTACTCACTCAGCCAGTTGTTGTGTTGTGTGCCATTGTGCCGAGTTAGTAATGACCCATAGTTGACCTTCCAGCAGGTTTTCCAAGGCAGTATATTGCACAGGAGATTACCCATCCTTCTCCCACAGAGCAGCTGGTAGATTTGAACCATGCGTCTTTGAGATTGTAGCACAGAGTTCCCTAAATGTTACATAAGGTCTTGTAATAGATTGAACACTGCATTTTTTAGAAACTATACCATTCATTTGGTGCCAAATCAATGGTTTCTAACAACAACAACAGCAGCAAAAATTTTTAATTATATCTGCCTTAAGAATATATTGATATTTTTGGAATAGAACTAAAATGATACAAAAAAATGACTTAGCACTATAATAAAATTCTGTCAACTTTATTAAAAGTAGGTTCCATTTCTTCACATAATTAAGAATTTTTTTTTCAAAAGAGCCCATTTCATTGGAATATTTAATAAGTTTTAAGTTGATTCAGTGAAACTGTCACTGATAAAGACATATACAAAGTTAGCACAACACCTCTGTAAATGCGGACAGCCACAGTACCTCTCCAATATGTACAAACTCCCTTTGCTCAGGCACCCACACAAACAGACACAGATTTGACAGCTAATAAATAACATTGAAAGCCAAAGCATCTTGTATAAATATGTAGCGAAGTCTGTAAAGCCAGAGTTCCCAGTGCCATATGTGCATTTGCTGAATCTTGTCGAAAACTTAGCACCTCTGGTCAAAACTCAAAATAAAATTTAAAACCCCCGACATTACTGAATTAACAATAAAGGGGAATACCAACAACAAATGATGCATCATTTTATTTTCAGATAGAATTCATTCCAAGCCTGCTGGTATCCATCACAGCATCTGTCCTTCATTTTATAGCATAACCATATTTCTCAGACAAAGAGCTGGAGACCTGGCACCTGTGGAGCTGTTTCTACCCCAACAAGTTGCAATACATCCCTTGATCGTTTGCTTTCCAATTCCTACTGAACAGTAAGCATGTGATAAACTTTATATATGAGTGTAGGCTCAGATCCCCACACACGTTCACAGTTTGGGTTCCCATCAACAGCCTCTGAGATATTTTATTTCTTTCTCATTTTTCGTTAATATATAGAAAAACATTCTGAAAATATGAGTTCTAGTTTATAAATAACTGTTACTCACTATTGATTAGTTGTTGAAAACAACAATGAAAACCCTCCTGGCATGTTCAGGTGGCTATAGCAATTGAGGACTCTTATTATATACAATGGTTTCTGTGCACTGCTTATGAATATATCCCAGTAACTCTCCATCTCTTTAGTGAGCAAAAATGGTCCTTCTCTGGAATTTGTCAGAATTTAGATGATGCAAAATTTGGACAAAATATGCATTTTCTTGTAAAAAATAATAACCAGAAAAGAGAGTTGGACTTGAAGCATGACTGCAGTAAACCTAACCGAACAATAAATAGTGACTATCAAATGTCTTCAAATTTGTGACAATAATTTGTAAAACCTGAAAATAAAATTATAGTATCATATCCTTTCTCCAGAGTTCAAACAATTGTGCTTATTGAAGATAATACTTAGACACACTTTAGATTTCTACCCAGAGAATAGAAAAGTGTTAATCTGAAGAGAAAAAAAAAGATTAAGAATTCATTGATCAAATGCTATATGTCCTTTAATTTGTAATGTGGTTGTGATGTAAGTTAGGTTTATCACTTTGTCAGTCATATCTTCAGTTTCTGTCTCCAAGTCACATCCAAGTGGCAGCAGGAGAACAGCCATTCTGAAAGTCAGGTGTTTTTACAAGTAAGTAAATGTCGGCCACTTCTGACTCGCACAAAATCAATTCCTGTATTCAGAGTTGGAGAAAACTTTGACAAGACGTCAGTTTGGAAAATCTACAATTCCAGTTAGAAGGCTGACTTTAAACTCTGGCTAAATGTGGTGCATGAAGGATCTTATTTTACCATGGACCCAAATAAGTATTACTTCTTTCTCAAAGAGTAAAATAAAGTTAAAAGCAATGTTTTTTTTGTATCTGCTGCTTTTTAAGGTGGAAAGATGCACCACTTGGCCACCATATTCCTCAAATTAGCCACATTTTTAGTACTTGAGACTGTCTCCTAAAGGAACTAAGAAGAATATAGCTGGGGTTAAAACTCAAGAAAATCCACTTTTTAAAATGCCAAAAGCACTGAGCATCTTTTGTAAATGTTACTTCTTTCACTTTGTTCTTCCCAGAAATCATGTGCTGTTCTTCTTTGAAGACATTTTGTTGAGGGACTTGTCATGGCATTTCACAAATATCACTGGTGTCTTTCCTTTCTGCAGATGAGACACTTTTTCCCGGGAACAGAAGGTCACCCTGTTGAAGAAAATGGATGTGAGCATGATATGTGGAATCATAAAAATTACTTTTTTATAATGTACAGTTCAAAAGAGATTGTTTCTGTTTGGCCACCTTGGGATGATTGGGATGACACCCAGCCGCCATGCTGTGAGGAAACCCAGGTCATGTGAAGAGGTCATATAGAAGGGTCACAGCTGTAGATGGGGTTCCAGCTAATCGCTAGCCGTAGGTGGGAGCCACATGATTGAACCAGGTGAGAAGCAGATTCAGGTTAAGCCACCTCAGCTGATGCTCATGGAACAAGAGGGACCCTTCCCATGGAGCCCTGCCCAAATGGTCCCTTTGTGAGATAAATTTGAGTGTTTATTTCACACCACTAAAAAAGTGTGGTAGTTTGGTCAAGGGTATTTAAAATGTACATAATTATTCTAGTTATTTTCCCCCTATTTCCAGTAAGTAATTGCTAACACTTAGGTCATTCTGGCCAGTGTAACACATCTGAGTCAGAAAGGGTATTTGAAGGTCTGATCCATTGCTCAGTAATAACTTTACAGGCAAGCATGGACAGGTTGGAGCAACCTGAATATCATAATGCTTTCACCAACAAGCATCACAATACCAAATTTACCAGCTCTTAGTCTCTGCATTGAGAAATTAGAGCCCGTGTTCATTTGCCCTTGCTACTGGAACAAATGTTCTACGCAGCCTTTCCAAACACAGTGTAGGTATCCTTTTGGTCATAAAAACAAATGATTATATAGATATGCTCTATCAATACTAATAGAAATAATATTTATTAACAATGAAACTGCAATACAGCTTGCAAAATATGTGTACATCTAGCATGAACGTTTTAAATCTGATAGGATTCACTATGAAATTTTTTTAATATATGTGAGTAGGGTGAATGAGACAGGAACAAGTGAGCTTGGAATCTCTTCCTTCTTGTAGAAAGTAGTTTTAACATTTGAATGTCAAAGAAACATCTCTGATAATGGTTTTGTATTTACAAGAAACAACGTAAATGAGAAACTTAAAACCCTTGACTTTCCATGCCAGCTCTCCTTCGGAATAATTGAGACCAACTCAGAACATTGTCTGGAGGGAGTTGCACTGCTAAACCCAAGATGACATGTCTCTGGCAGGTTGAATCCACTAGCGACTCCATGGGAGAAAGACAGGCAATCTCCTCCAGTGTGATTTATAGCTTCCCCAAAACCCACAAGGGGGTCAGTTATGAGTCAGCTCCAACTCAAGGGAAATGTGACTTTATGACATGTAGAAAGATTTATTTCCCAATATCTTAATAAAAGAATAGTTCTAACAAAAGGTGCAATTACCTATGTCATATAAGATTAAAATCAGGCTTAGAAAAGCTCCCCCTGAATTTTGAAGGTTCCTGGAATGTTATACCAAAGTAATAGCCTTAGCATGAGTTTGAAGTAAGGGAGACAAAAAGAATTGAATTACTTTTTCTGAGTCTCTCCCGCTTTCACTCTGATATTCTCAATGTCAAAGCCAGGAGTGCTCCACCATTCAGACCAGGCAAAGTAGGAATCGCTGTTCCATTTGAGCTTCAACATGAGCAGTTCCCCAACGTCCACCTCGGTGTAAATGAGGAAGGAGCTCGTCTTGTTTCTGGCAACTTCAGGCCTGGATAATCAGTTAACATATTTGGTTAGTTCTGAAAATATATTTGTCCCCTCTAAAGATGGAAACAGTTTTATTGTTTTTAAAATATTTTTAAAATGCAAAATATTTCCTAAAATACTCAAGACTTTTCATATTTCTTTACTGTATTCCAGCTTGTATCCTAACTACATGAGCTATTAAGCACAACTTTTTAAAAAAGCAAATGAGTTTATTGAGTGGGAGGGATGGTTACGGCCAGGGTAATGTCCACTGCCAGTGTAAAAATGGCTATACCACTGGACCATAAAATAGGATGTAGTCTTATATTGGTGGATCAGGAAGTTAGGAACACACAATTTATAAGTAGATGTTTTCAAAGAGAAAAAAAAAAACCCAAGTCACTATTCAGAGGCATTATTTTCCCTTTCAAGTACGTCTTTACAATTTGTACCAACATAAGAACATATTTTTACTTAAGTATACAGAGTAAATACTAGTCTCTCTCCTTTCTTTACCCACTGAGTAATTTATCATGTACAGTTTACCCTGCTTTTAGCTACTCTTTAATAATTATCATTTCTAAAGGTTGAATGATGTTATTAACCTTCTATAAGTCTTGATATTGTACAATGATTGTGGTACCTAACCTATTATACTTACCACCGTAATGAACATCTTTTGCCACACAGCTTCTTAACATCTATCTGTTATTCTTCTAGGGCACATTTCACATAATGACATTTAATAGTCATTGAAAGCTTTCAGCACATTGCTCTTTTGATTTCTGAAGCCTCCAGAGGTATGTGAATTTACCTGCGTCATACCCTCATTAGCACTAAGTCTTTTAAAAGTTTGTTCAGTTAGTATTTATAAAATGACATCTTAAAAGTTGACTTTTTTTTTTTTAATTCTTGTGATCAAGTCAAGTATAACACTTTATCATAGGCCTTCTCCTGTGTGTATCCTAGGCCTTCTCCTGTGTGTATCCTCTCTACACATTGAAAGAACCCCTGGAGACTCACTAGTTAAGCCAGGAAGCTGCTGAGAGGCTGGCGGCTAAAGATCTGGTAGTCTGCTTCAACAAAAACTGTAGCTTTCAGAACCCCACGGGGCAATTCTACTTTGTCCTATAGGGTTGAATTGGAATCAACTAGTTTGCAATGGCTTTCTGGCATACGTACTGCATTTAAATCTATAGAAGGATTTACTATGTTTGTGTATTTTTCGTTAAACGTCAGACTCCTAAGTGAATTTAATTGCCATTTTGTTTAAAAAGTGTACAAAAGAAATGAAAGCCAAAAGCCAGACCCACTGGCAACAAGTCAGTTCCACCTCAGTCACCCCATAATGCAGAGTAGAACTGCCCCTAATGTTTTCTGAGACTGCACGTCATTATAGCTGGTTTCTTTAACCATCATGCTACCAATGCTTTTTGTAAAAGGAAAAGAAAAAAAAAACATAAAAAATAACAACTAGAAAATAAAATTAAAATCTTAATCATTCCTCCTTCAATATAAGACTTCAGTTTGAAAAAAATTCTAATTTCTTAAGCTGGCAACTGGTTTTCTAGTGTCCTCCTCCTCTTTTACTCCCCAGGCTAGAAGTTACCACGTGAGACGCACACACATGGAAGGGCCAGCGGGTGGGCCTACTCACAGGGTGAAGGCGATGTTCTCACTCTCGGCCTCAGTCCCATACAGAGATATTTCGAAGAGCTGGTTGGTGTATGTGTTACTTTCAGATCCAGAAAAATGTATTTTTACCTGGTAGTGGAATACTGCAGGAGAGGAAATTGGAACAAAGGCTGGTCAGTGTTTCTTTAACCAATACTGATCCCAGACAGTTAGACAATTCAAAGCCATATGAATAATCAAAGAGGAAATACACAGACAAGTATGCTGGTGTGCCTTGGGACTATTTCTTCATATCTTCATGTCCTAAAAAGGGTATAGCCAGAGTGCTCCATGGAGGCAAGAATGATGAAGCTTCATTTTTCATATTTTGCACATGTGTCTAGATAAGGCTATTTCTTGCAAAGGGAAATCATACTTAGAGAGATGGAAGGTCAGTGAAAGATAGAAAGACCCTTAATGGGATGGAATGACCCTGTGACTTCAGCAATGGTGTCTAGTGTCTTTGAGATGATGTGAATGGCACAGCACAGGGCAGGTTTCAGGATGGCTGTTCATAGGGTCGTATGAACAGCCATGATAGACTTGTATGAACAGCCATAACTTGTACTCATCTCGATGGCACCGAACAATAACAACGACATACATTGTCCACTTTGAGGATATTTGGACCTTGAATCCTCCATTTTAGAAGGATGTAATTTCAGTGGATAGGGGTAAAATGGAGGTGTATCCGAATTGCCAAGAAAATCACCCATAGTTGAAAGATCACAGGGACATTAAATCAAAGGACAAAAACATCCGGATTCCTTCTTCATAACCTCCCCCCATCATTGTCTGTCTTGTTCCTTACACTTGCTGTCTTTTTTAAGCCCCTTAACCTGATCTCCGCCTAACATACTTTGGACATGTTGTGAGGAGAGACCGGTTCTTGGAGAGGAACATCATGCTTGGGAGGGTGGAGGGACAGCACAGGAGGGGAAGACCCTCTATGAGGTGGATTGATTCAGTGACTGGGGTAATTGGGATGGGAGTGTCAGAGACAGTGGGATTAGCACAGGACAGAGCAGAGTTTAGGGCTGTTGTACATAGGGTCGCTATGAGTCGCAGGCGACTCGACGGCACATAACAACAACAACGACAACCTGGTCTCAGGATTGTGGAGAGGGTGAGAGGGTAGGAAAGATAGCAAGCGTAAGACTAGGCATGTTTATCATTTATTACTGTGTCACTGTAACAGTGGCCTCGAGCATGTCAGAGATTGTGAAGATGGCACAGGCTATGGCATGACTTCGATCTGTCATTCATAGGGTTGCTATGAGTTGGAATTGCCTCATGGCACATAACAACAATGTCACAATGTGTGATTCTATTTTTCGTTTCTGGGGTGTATCTGACCTACTTACATGGCTTGTAAGCTATAGAACAGAGGAGCCGACAAACAAGAAAACTAACTTCATTGAACTACCCGTGAGGCTAGACGTCTACTTCACAAATCTTATTCTGGGGTCATCCTCACAGTCTCTGTTTAACACGTTGCTCTACTCTCCATCGTCATCTCTTTTGCTGACCCTCTGCATTACCCAGTATGTCGATCTCCAGAGACTGGTGCCTCCTGAGAACATGCCTAAATGCATGAGACAAAGTCTCACCATCCTTGCTCCTAAGGGTCACTCTGGTTACACTTCTTCCAAGAGAGGTATGTTTGTTATTTTGGCAGTCAATATTCAATATTCTTTGCCAATACCACAATTAAAAGGCATCACGCACTTATGCGTCTTTATTATTCATTGCCCAACTTTCATATGCAGATGAGGCCACTAAAATACCATGACTTGGGCCAGGTGCATCTTAGTCTTTAAAGTGACATCATTGCTCTTGAGCATTTTAAAAAAGCCCAGGGAAGCAGATTTGCCCAATGAGTGCCAAGATCAGATATACTGTTCCTCAAGACACTGTTCTTCAATATCATCCTAAAATTACTTTTTCATATTATTACCTTTCACCAGATTTGTCTGACTACTCTGTGTCTTGTTTTCCCTCCATTCTTAAGAGTTTGTTCTAAGCAAGATGCCAAGTTTAAAACTCACTTATGAAACAAATGATAAAATAGAAAAATACGAGAACTCCCTTCCCATAGACAGTTGCATGTTATAATACGAGTTGTTCTCCCCATTGTTTAAACTTTTTATTGTTGTTGAATCTGAGTGATCGAGGTTGACAAACTTTTCTTTATAAAGGTTCAGATACTATTAGGTTTTTCGAACCATAAAGTTCCTGTTGTAATTACTCAGTTCTTCCACGGCAGCATGAAAGCAACCACAGACATGTAAACAGGTGTGTGTGACAGGGTTATGAAGAAACTTGGATAAAGGCTTCTTTGACTTACCAAAAATAAGCCAAGGAGGAAAGCTTTATCTTCTAATTAACTCCGAGCCCAGTGTTAGTGGACTATGCTTTTGATCATGAGTACATTCAGGCATACTGAGAAGCACTGAGCAGGCTGTGCCCTGGGGTCATGGTGTCACTGGGAATTAGGAGCTACAGTAAATCAGAGCAAAGGAACTCTCTACTAAACAGAGAACAACACGTGAGGACTTAAGAGTTGTTGCTGTTGTTGCTCGATGCTGTTGAGTTGACTTTGACTCCTAATGGCTCTCTGAATAACAGATGGAAACCTTTCTCTAGCCTGTACATCCTCTCAGTGCCCACCACGCTCAGATCCATTGTTGCCGCCACTGTGTCAATCTAACTCCTTGGTTCTAGTAATATTATTAGATATTAACAGCAATATTAATAGGGGTTAGTAACATCATTTCCTTATCTTAACCCTGAATGGTCAGCACACGCAGTACAAGGTGCATGATGAAAAATAGGACTAAAATGATTTATTTTTCAAGACTCTCCAGCATACCTTTGAAGGGCATCTGAGAACGAGTCTTCAGGTACATTTTGCTGCTTCTCTTGGGTCTGACTTTGTTGATTGCATAGCCCAGGTTGTTGCAGCGATTCTTCCTGCAGCTCAGACAGAGCCCCTTTTCAAAGGTTTCCTTTGACGTGCAGCGGTAGGCCTTGCTTGGGCTTTCTTCATTCAACAGGGAGTCAATGAAGAGATGAATGGAACGCTCATGGGAGCACTTCACGAGCTGGTCCACATCTAGGGAAAAAACAGACACAAAGGAAAATGTCATCTCTGCTAAAGTCCAATTCAATGAATGGTCTATATGCATGTTAGACTAGGATGACCTTGGGGGTTAGTCCTGTCAATCTATGATTCTACTAAATCCTGTTGAACAAGTATTCTTCATAATATTTCATCTGTGTTTTTTTCAAAACTATAAATTCCCAGATAACATTGACTTTTTTTTTTCTATTGTTGAATGAACATTCTTCAAAGTCATACAGTACTCTTCCATCAATTTGCTGTATTAAGGTAATCTAGGTTTCCTGTGAAGCTGAACCTTGTGCCATTGAGGGGTCAAATTCCATCATGGCTGCCTATGGTGGACAGTGTTTGGTGGAGCTCTCAGTTTTAAGACAGGTTTGGAAGCAAGAGTGGCATCCACTTCCTAAACCACATGCTTCTGGAAACACATGCCTCTGGAAACTCTATGAACCTGGAGAAACAACAATAATTATAGAAAGGCTTCAGGACTTTTGTCCATAGGGTCACAATGAGTTGTCCTTGACTTGACAGCAATTAACAACAACAACAACGATTGTGCATATAAACAATATTCTCTGTGGGTAACAGATTAAACTGTTAAGGGGCAAGATGAAAACTCTTATTTCATCCACTTCAGATAATACTTACCTCCAAGGCCTTTCTCTGCAATCATTCTAATAGCTTCCCCAATGTTACAGCCTGGTTGAAAAGTGCCTCCATTAGGATAAATGTCAACATGGCCTACTGGCTTCTGGATTCCAATGCTTCGGTCAGGTGATCCTCGGGTGAAGGTGTGCAGCACATCCACAAAGTCTGCATCATCTGGAGAAAGTCGACTTGTAGCTTCTGCATACTCAAAGCTAGGGCCAGCTGGATCCAGGCCTTGATAAAAAAACAAAACATAACAACAACAACAAGGCTTTTAAATCTGACCTGGTCTCATGGTATTGCTTTAGTATCTATTGCTTTTCATTTGAATGGAAATTGCAGACACTTAGATCTACTATCACCTATCTGTACAAATCTAACCTTTGAATTATTTAAAAGAGCCATAAAAGTAAACCAGACTCCTTCTCAAATAGGATTTTAGGTTCTTAAATAAGCAATTTTCACTTGGGATGGCTTGATTTCCTTTTGTAAGTAATATCTTAGTCTAATAGGAAGAACAGTGGTGTGGTGACGTCTTTCTTTTTTTCTACATGCTAAAACATCAGTCTACTAGAGAGCTCTGGTGGTTTATTGGTAAGAAGCTGCTTTGCAATACCGAAGGCATGCAGTTCGAATCCAGATGATCCACGGGAGAAAGATGGCCAGTCTCTTGCCATGCAGTTAACTGTCTCTGAAAATCTGCTGGAGGGTCAGCTATGAGTCAGTGAGTCAGTTCTAACTCAATGGTACATGACAACTGTGGTGTAGATAGCTGTCTTTCTTGTCCCATTCTGTGTATAGTGTTGGTTCTGTTCCACTTCTCTGAGGACCCACATGAGAGCTAATACTACCAAAATATAGTGTGAAAGAGGAGGAGGGAAATAGGGTTCTTTGCAGAGAAATATGAATGCTCTCTGAACTTCACTCTATGTCCTATTTCTGTGCTACTGCTAGGAGATGGTAAGTCTATGAGAGCAAAAGCCCGTATTTTATCTTATTCCTGGGGGGAAAAATGTCCCTACCATGAGATAACTGAGACCAGGGTGTTCACACAGAAATGGTGTATATTTAACAAACATTGTGCTTATTCTCTTAGAAAGTGGCAGCCTTCTTGACTCTTATGTGACGAGATGAATGAGGCTGCGTTCTTACCGGTAATTCTATTGACCTTCCTATTGGTCAGATGTCCTGCAATGCCAGCAGCATGGGCACCAAGGCTATATCCTAAAAGGTGGACATTGTTGACAGGATAGTTGAATTCCTCCTTTGGAGCAGAAAGAGAAGGAAAGAAGAAAAAGACATTCTTATTGTCTATTATAGAAAATTAAAAGAGAAAAAAATTATTTATGTGAATTATAAAACAGACAATACAAATAAACTCTTTTGAAATTTTGTGTTCTAGATCTAAGAATATAGACTATGCTGTTGAGTTTTTTCGCTTTTTTTGATTTAAAATTGATTTAAGTTACAAAGTCTTTGCATATATCTGAAATTGTATAATATGTTGTTGTTGTTGTTATGTGCTGTCGAGTTGCTTGTGACTCATAGAAACCCTGTGTACAACAGCCCTATACCCTGCTCTATCCTGTGCTAATCGTATTGTCTCCAACACACCTACTCCCAATACCTCAATCACTGAATCAATTCATGTTATCGAGGGTCTTCCTCTCCTGCACTGTCCCTTCACCCTCCCAACATGACATCCCTCTCCAAAGACTGGTTCTTTCTCACAACATGTCCAAAGTATGTCAGATAAAGTTTCAGAATCCTTGCCTCCAAGAGGCAGCCTGGTTTCGCCCTCTCTAGAATAAGCTTGTCTGTTCTCCTAGCAGTCTGTGGTATATTCAGTACTCTTCTCCAGCACCACAACTCAAAGGCATCAATTCTCCTTCTTTCATCCTACCAATTGGTATGCCATCAATTCCTGGGGCCTTGTTTTTTGCCAATTCTTTCAGAGCAGCGTGAACTTCTTCCTTCATCACCACAAGCTCTTGCTTATATGTTGTTTCATGAAATCTTATGTTTCCACCAATTCCTTTTGGTACAATGACTCTGTATACTCTTTCAATCTTCTTTTAATGCTCCCTGGATCATTTAATATTCTACCCAAAGCATCCTTAAGTACTGCAACTTGAAGCTTGAATTTGTCTTAAGTTCGTTCAGCTTAAGAAATGCTGAGTAATTTCAGCCTCTTTATTTTCTGACTCCAGCTCTTTTCACATTTCATGATAACGTTTACTGAGTGAAGTATCTTAGTCACAAAAGGACAAATACTTCATGGCGCCACTGATGTAAAACAGGACTGACCTTGGGGTTGG